GGAACCGAACTCACGACCTTGCGCTTGCCAGGCAGGCGCTTTGCTGCTGAGCTAAATCCCCAGCCCTCTTCCTTTTTAAAGTAAAAAGAAAAGTTAACACAAATATGATTTTCACAGTACACGTGAATTTCAGATTATATTAACCCTCTATGGAGCCACTGGGAAATCGTACTTCTAGGTTACTCCTACCACGACCACCAATCTGTTTTCCGATTGCTTACCTTGTACTCTCCATCCCCATGCAAATCCGCCAGCGCTGTTAAGTAACACAAGGCCATACATCAGTCTCAGCATCAGTCACACTGCAGAGCACTCGCAAGACCCCAGGTTTAATTCCCAGATTCACCATGGGAGTGCCTGACTCCCCCATTCTCCTAGAACCCAGAGTTCCTGGTTTCCAGAGACTCACCCAGGCAGGAGGAAAAGGTATGGATGTTGGCCATAGGGTCGTAGTGTGCGTCCAGCCATTTCGAATTGGCCTCATTGCTGCAAGTTGGGAGAAAGAGTGGGGAAATGAGACCCACAGGTGTGGAGGACACCCCTGAGGGTGTTATAAGACTGAGGAGTGGAGGGGGCTGTCAAATGGGAATAGAGAACGGCGGGGTCCCAGTCCAGTAGCCCATGATCCCAAGTCAGGCACTCCCTGGGCATCGGTTCCCCTATCTGATCTCCAAGAGCCCTTCAAGGACTTCCAGCGATGCCCAAGAACCACAGCAGCCTAGAGCTGGGGATCAAGGTACCCTCTTTACACTTGTGGGAAAGGAAGCCTTGAGGACCCGGGCCTTCACCTCTCAGCTCTGCCGCTATCGGAATCGGATGAAGACGGAGCAGCCATCTTCTCAGGCGTCGTCTTGGCAACCGGCTCCGCCCCTGCCGCCGCGTCTGGCGCAATAGAGCCCGGGTACCCGGAAGCGCGCGTACAAAGGTTCCGGGATGAAACTTTCCCAGCCTGGGCCAGGATGCACTGGCACCTTTGCTGGGTGCAGGGCGCTGAAGTGCAGTCCCTCAACCCCGCTTATCTTGATGTATGGTTTCTAGGCTTTACAGCCTTTGGGTTGAAGGCCTGGAGAGGAGCCCCTGCTAGGGTTTATGAGGACCTAAATAAACTTCCTCTTCATAGCTAACGCAGTTGAAAAGGGCCAGGCCTCTTCCGACTATCACACTGCAGAGGCCCAGGCCCAGAGAAGAAAATATAAGGGTGAAGAGGCAATATGGCAGATGTTGACGGAAGTTGATGGTTTCTGGATTTTAGGCTCCTGGAATATTTTTAAATGCAAGAATTGCAACAAAGGAGGGTTGCAAAAATTGTGCTGTGATGTAAAAATCCTGTTGTGGACGGGAGAGTTGGTGTTGGTAAAATATGTGCCTCAACCCCCTCCCCAGGCCTTGATCCCACTGCTCTACAGGCAGTAAAAGCAAGAAATCATGCATACTGCAAAGGTAGTAGGTATTTCTAATATTTATTTTTCTAGTTATAAAAGTAATACATGAAGAGCACTGGATCTGGTGAGATTTTAAGCCCCAACTCTGTCACATACCATCTCCAGGATCTAAATCCATCACTTTTCAGAACAGCCATTTCCTCATCTGGGAAACCAGATAAAGAGCCCTGTAGTGTCCATTCCATAGATGGCAGTGCAGATCAAATAACAGAAGGGAAGCACTTGGTAAATCAGAAAGTGTCAACAAATGGAAGGGTTAAGTGTCACCACCCTCTGCTGAGGTAGCACCAAAGTCCCAGCTCCTGCCCCTCCCCTACCCCCCAATTACACAATGGAGAGCCACCTACAGCCTTGGTTTAATGAAGTACAGGGAGGACCCACAAAGAATCTTCAAGCTTGGCCAGACTGGGCCTCGCTCTTCCAGAATCGGGCATCAGCAGTGGCCAGCTGGGTGAGAACCTCCTCCAACTCAGGCCCATCCTCTGGGAAGCGCTCAGAGAAGGATCTGATGAGTCCAGCTGCTGAGGCCTCATACTCAAGAAGCTGCACTTCTGAGCCTGGATTGTGGAGAGCAAACAGGGAAGTTAAATCCTAACAATGTAATCACAGGAGTAACTGGTTCTTTCTGAGCTTTTGTGTCCCAAACTCTGTTCACTGTTTAATTATCTTGATCCTTACAATCATTCTGTGAGGAAGGAAATATTACAGGGGGAATATTAAATTAACTGCTGCAAACCTAGTCCACCTCCCCCCGCCCCCCCCCCGGGTCTGGCTGTCACTAACATATTTATATCTTGTGTTTCACCTAAGAAGTAGATGAAACAGATACAATCCTTGGCCTCCTGGAATTTATAGTCCAGTAATTGCTGCTTCTCTGTTTAACCTGGCCAGGTTTCCTAGTATCTATGAGATTCAGTTTCCTCATCTGTAAAGTAGGGGTGAGCACAGTATCTCTCTCAAGGAATTTCAGTGATCACATACACCAATCCAGTGCCTGAGTGCTGAACAAATGCTAGCTGCCACCAACAGCATCTCTGAGCCTGATTAGCCACCTGTTAAAGGGATTTGTTCTGACAGGCCCGAGTACTCATGGGAAGCATTCCCTTCTGCCACATTTCAACTGCTCTCTGCCCTTTCAGCACCCGATTCTCCATGGCATCGCAAGGCATACAGTAGTGAAGAACATAGACTTTGGGTTCAGATGGCTCAAATTCAAGTCTTGACTGTGTCCCCTACTAGCTCTATGACCAATGATAGTGTTACCCATAGGGCTTATATGCAGCCCTTTGGTATCTTGTTTCCAGATGAAAAATGGGGATAACTGTCCCTCACTTGATCGTTGGGAGGTAATTACGGAAAATGTTTTACCAAATACCTGTTATTCTTCAAAAGTCTTCAAAAAATTAGCTTCAGAAGTCTTCAAAACTTAGCTATCATCATCATGACTTTGAAAATCCCACCTTTTCTTCAGTTCTAGCTTAATCATCACTTCCTCCCTAGATCTTCCTAGGTCCTCTAGGATAGATGGGACCTTCTTTCTTCTAAGCATCTAGAGCACTCTTAGTATCTTTTGGGCCTCACTGATGGTTCCCTTGTTTGATTATCTCCAGGTCATATCATTTCTAACGGGGCTGGGAACGACTTGAGGGGAAGGCCTGGGTTCCATTCACCTCTTCACCCCCCACAGGCTCACACAGGTCTGGACATATCAAAGCAATGATGGTGTTATCCATAGAGCTGGCAGGATTTCTTCATTTACTCATTTCATTACATAGAGCAGCTGCTGTGTGACGGGCCATGAGCTGGAGCAGGGTATGTTGTTCCTGGTATGCTGTCCCTACTCTCATGGAGACAAAACAGCCAAGTGGAAACTGAAGAACAGAGAAAGAGTTAAGGGGAAGCACTTTATGCTAGCACCTTTACCGTCTGCTGTCCTGTGCCAAGGAGAAGCAAAATACGGAGCTCATTTATAGAGTTGCTTGCAGATGTGTCTCTCAGGAAGTACAATTTAACAGAGGCCTGACTGACAAGGACCAGACAGGCCCAACACGAGAGATGCTCATGCCAAGCAGAGGGAACAGCATGTCCAAAGGTTACAGGCGTGGGGAGAGCTCAGTGGGCTGGAGAAACGGAAAGGCACACAAGGTACAAGTGCCATGCGGCCCTGCCTGAGCTTCTGGAAACGGACTTGTCACTTGAGAAAGGACAGGAATGGAGGGGCTGATATCTATCGTGAACACTGCAGAGTCCAATATTCCCTTGGGTTCCACTTGGCCTGCTGAGTGCCAGCTCCCTGCCTGACCTGACCTCACGGCAGGGTATGTGACAGCCACGATTCTCCAGTTTCTGGCCTGGCTCCCATGAACCTCTGATCTGCTGGTTTCCCTTAGCCCTTCTGTTGACAACCAGCATGACCCTGTGTATGGCGGCGGCAGTGGTAGATGCCGAAGTTTTGGTCTAAGTGTATCCTTCATGCTCTAAAGGCCCTACAGGGTCCCCATTAACGCCCCCACCCCATTACCTTCCAGGCGAGTGTTGGGCTGTACAATGAGCTTCCGTGATTCCTTGCGCAGCAGCACTGTATCCCTGAGGGTGAGGAAGCACTCCGGGGGAGCGTCAGTGACCGCTGCATACCCTTCATACAGGGCCCGCCCTCCAGCCACGTCCCCCGTGGATTTCATTACCTGAAAGAACCAAGGTAGAAGTGTGCAGGGTGAGCACCTACCTTGTATCTACTGGGCTCTGCCAGGGCCACAGGTGATTGTGCCCAGCCTTGAAGCGTCCTCTGGGCTATCACTTGAATATGTCCAAAATTCAGGTATTTAGACTTAGTAGTTAATATGATACTATTGCCGGGTGTGGTGGCTCACTCCTATAATCCCAGCACTCAGGAGGCTGAGGCAGGAAGATCATTGCGAGTTTGAGACCAGACTGGGCTACAAAATGAGCTTAAGGCCAGTCTGAACTGCATAGTGAGACCCTGTCTCAAAATGACCAAAAAAAAAAAAAAAAGTGATACTATTAAGAGGTGGAGATTAGTCAAGAGGGCTCTTCTAGCCAGGAATGATGGTGCACACCTATATTCCCAGCACTCGGGAGGCTGAGGCAGGAGGACTGTGGTGAGTTCGAGGCCAGTCTGGTCTACCTAGGGAGATCCAGGCCAGCCTAAACTATATAGTGAAACCCTCTCTCTCTCTCAAAAAAAAAAAAGAGCAGGGGATATAGCTCAGCGGCATAAGTGCTTGCCTAACAAGCCTGAGGTCATGAGTTCAATTACCGGTACAAAAAAAAAAAAAAGAGGGCTCCTTCCTTTGTGAATGGGATTAGGTCTTGATAAAAGAGGCTTCAACTACCTTTTACTGTTTGAGGATGGAGTATTCCTTCCCTCCAGAGACTGTGGCAACAAGGGGCCACCTTGGAAGAGGAGAGTTGCCCTTCCCAGACCCTGAACCTGCCGATGCCTGGATCCTAGACTTCCCAGCCTCTGGTGCTGTGAGAAATACATTTCTGTTCTTTATAAATTATCCAGTCTTGGCACAAAATGGACTAAGGCAGTCTTCAAAATGCTTGGCTGTCATAGGCTGTGCAACCTTGGATCAGTTACTAAACCACTCTGAGCTGTTGCCTAGAAATAGAATCTGCTTTCTCAGTGTTGTGTTGAATGAGGGAGAAATGCAGATCAAGTGCTTAGCTCACTGTAAATGTGCTGAACCGAAGTGCACATTCCTCATTCGATGTATAGACAAAGTGGGCATCATGTCACCCTCTTTTCAAAGAACAGCTCATATGCATAAAAAATGGTATATTTGTCATAAAAGTTAATGAAAGACGCCCTCTCATTCTCTCAGCAGCCCATGTAAGAGTTAGTGTACATGTGGCGTCCCCATCTGAGGGAATCATTGTTTTCAATTCTGTACAATTTCCTTGCTTTCAGAATTTTACTCTGCATCACTTAATATTTTAAGTTTCTGTCTTTTTTTTTTTGGTGCTAAGGGGTATAGAACCCAGGGCCTAAATTCACTGAGCTACGCCCCAGATTTTTTTTACTTTTTACTTTGCAATGGAGTCTTGTAAAATCATTAAGTTACCTGGACAGGGCTCAAACTTGCAATCCTCTGCCTCAGTCTCCCAGAGTGCTGGGATTACAAGTATATGTTGCCGCTCCTAACAAGTTTTGTCTCTTTTGGGGGCTGGGGATTTAGCTCAGCGGCACAGCGCCTGCCTGGCAAGCTCAAGGTCATGAGTTCAATTCCCAGTACCGGAGAAAAACCAAAAAAAAAAAAAAAAGGTTTGCCTCTTTTGAACTATGTGCATTGATTGGCCATTTTTGCTTGAATTGTGTCTAAGATTCACCCACGCTATAGTTGCTATATCCATGCTATATGCAGCTATGGTTTCTCCTTATCATTGCTGTATCATATTCCACTCATAAAGGCACCACAACTTAATCTCTTCTACTGTTGATGTATAATCTGCACTTATTTTGGTTCTGTGCATTAGTGGTGCTGGGACTGAACCTGGGGCCTCCGGCATGCTAAGCACAAGCTCCACCACTGCACCACACCCACAGACCTAATCCGTGTCTTTTGCTATTAACTGCTGCTCTGAACATCCCTGTAGGTCTGGCGAACAGGTTTACGTCTTGAATCATATCCTGTAGAGGTTTTGTTACTGAGGGTTTGTTATTGGCAAACTGGTTTTGATTGTCTAAAAATGTCTTTAATCCCATATACCTATAATCGTAGCACTTGAGAGGCTGAGGCAGGAAGATCGCCATGAGTTCGAGGCCAGCCTGGGCCACACAGTGAGTTAAAAGCCAGCTTAAACTGCATAACAAGACCCTGTCTAAAAACAACAACAGTGCCGGGGATGTAGCTTAGTGGTAGAGTGCTTGCCTTGCATGCACAAGGCCCTGACTTCAATCTCTGGTACCATAAAAAATAAAACAAAATAATTAAAATAAAAAAATAAAAACAACAACCAAACAAGAAACAGCCCCCCTAACAACAACAAAACATCAAAAGTCTTTAATCCCCCACCTCCACGCCAGCTTCTCATGGTGCTAGGGATGGAACCTGGGGTCTTATACCTGCCAAGCAAGTGCTCTGCTACTGAGCCGCACAGCAGCCCACTCACTCCTATTGTTAAAACCTCATTTTACAGGTATTGGCAGTTATTTACTCTCAGCACTTTGCAGATGTCATTTCACTGTCATCTGGCCTACTCTGTATCTCTGTCAGTCCTCAGTCTAATTATGCTCCTTTTCTAGGTAATGTGTCTTTATCCTTTGGCTGCTTCCAGCATTCTCTGCCTTTGGTGTCTGACATTACTCTATGATGTTTCTAGGTAGGGGTTTCATTTGTTCTTATTGGGGTTTGCTCTTCCTTGGAGCCTACAATCTGTTCTAGAATATTCTCAGCCATAGTCTCTCCTCATATCCCCTTTCCTACCATTTTTTTTAATTTTAAAGAGAAAAAAACCAAAATTTCAAAACAAAATAGAAGGGTAACAATGGTTAATACATTATGTATTGTTGTCTTTAAATTAGTTACTCAAAGTACAAGGTATCAGTGCTTAATTATCTAAACAATATTAGCATAAACCTTTCTTTTCAATGAACTAAGAGAAATCAGTAGTATAACTATCAATATATATATATACATATATATATATTCCCCCCCCCCGCTTTCTTTCCTTTTTTCTCTCCTTTTCTTTTGGAACTTCAGACAGTCATACATTAGACCTTCTCACACCTTCCTCCCTCCTAACCTCTATTAAATTTTTTGTGATTTTTTTTGGTTACTTTTTTTTTTTTTACCCAAATGCATTTTGGGGATGGTTTCCCACTCATCTTGCTTCAGGGTGCTGCTGGTGCTGCTTCCTCCAGAAGGAACACCCTCCTGTAAATCTTGCTTTTCTTCCTGTAGGCTGGCAAAGGACAGTGGCGCAGCCAACACACAAAACTACTGTTTGTGTGTGGCTAAAGACCATAGTCATTTTATAGCATTCTGGGCATTTCACATCCATGAAGTAGGAAGTGGGGCTCTGCACCAGGTACTTTTTGTGTATCCTCCTCTCCTCTTCTGGAGAAGGATGAAGGAAATCTTTGTGAGGTAGGCTTTGTGAGGAGGTTGTCACTGCCAGAAAGCTGCTACAGGCTATATAATTTCTTTTATCATCAGCTGAATATAAAACCTGTGTAGAGCTGGGCGTGGTGGCACACACCTGTAATCCAGCACACAAGAGGCTGAGGTAGGAGGATCACTGCAAGTTCGAGGCCAGCTTGGGCTACACAGTGAGTTCAAGTCCAGCCTAAACTACATAGCAAGACCCTGTCTCAAAAAACAAACAAAAACCGTGTTTATCCTGTCTACTAGTTAACCTGCCTTTTTAAATTTCAGTGATTCTCTAGTTTATTTCAAGGAGCTGGGGCTGGGGATTTAGCTCAGCGGCACAGCGCCTGCTTGGCAAGTGCAAGGTCATGAGTTCGGTTCCCAGTACCGAAAAACAAAATTTAAAAAAAAAAAACAAAAAAAAAAATCAAGGACCTCTATTTACCAAAGATCCAATATTTTGTGGATCTGATCCTTGTTCATTTTGCCCATTCTCAAGTGGCAAAGTAGGACTTGATCCTAGCGCCCCATCCAGATAAGACATCATGCTGGGCGTGGTGGTGCACGCCTGCCTGTAATCCCAGCACCCCGGAAGGCTGAGGCAGGAGGATCACTGCGAGTTCGAGAGCAGCCTGAGCTACAAAGTGAGCTCAAGGCCAGCCTGAACTGCATAGAGAGACCCTGTCTCAAAAAGACAGATAAGACTCCATCTTCTTAGACTCAAGAGATAGACTGACTTTTCCTTGCAGTGGAGCAAATAAAGCTAAACTGGGAACTCCTGGGAAAGGGATAAAAAGACATGTCACTTTTTTTTCCTTTTGATAGTACTTACTATCCACGAGGTGCTGAATTCATACTCGTTTCAGACTCCAGGAGTTCAAACATAGCTGCCAACGGGAGCCAGGTACACTGTGATGTGACTCAAACAAGTGACTCAGGCAGGCACAGCCTTTGGGGAATTGGTCAGGATCCTCTGCAGACCCCAAAATCCATGCATGCTCAAGGGCCTTATGTAAGACATTTGAATATAATCGATACACATTCCAGCATATTTTACTCTATAGGTTACTATACTAACGAGGACAATGTAAATGCTAAAAACTACTATTTTTTTTTTTTTTTAACAGTACTAGGGATTGAACCCAAGGCCTTCGCACTGAGCTATATCCTCAACCCTTTTTAACTTTTATTTTGAGACAGGGTCTCTCTAAGTTGTCCAAGCAACTTCCTTAGCCTCCCAAGTACAAGGATTATAAGCATGAGCTATGAAGGTTTCTTACTCATCTACTGTTTGCATGTCTGTCGTCTACCTTCTCTCACTACCATCTGAGAAATTCAGCATCCAGCACTTGAAAAACACTTGCTTTAAGCACTTGCTGAGCAGGGGATGGGGCAGATGTTGGGGGGGTCCAAGGGGAGAGACGTTCACTTACCTGGAGCCTCCGGAGGAACCGCTCCAGGGCGGGCCTGCCCACTGACCGGATCTTGTTGCGATCAAGGTGGACTCGGGCATCTGGGCGCCCGTCGGAGCCTGTGGTGGGAGTGACTGTAACGAGTCCCTCGCCAGCTTCTAGCAAGACCCTCAGGATCACAAACCGGGCCTGCATGTGGGCCTGCCAGGCCGGGGAGAAAGGAGTCAATCACAACCAGCATCCAGTGCTTGACCCATGGCCTGGTATACAGCATATGCTTGCTATCAGTTATTACTGTCGTTTTATTCTCCCCCACCCTCTGGGTGCTTTTTGACCTCTCCACTCCAATTGTTCTTCCCTCCTCTGCTCACAGGGAGGTCAGGCTGCTCTGGGGAACAGGGAAGCCATTACCAGGTGCCTTGTGTTTCCGAATGTCATCCACCACGCCCCCCACTGCTCCAGACAGCAGCTGCCCCTGACGGCCTTCACCACCAGGACTGAGGTCTTTGTCCTCTCTAATCTGTTTCTTCGTGTGTGTGGTACTGAGGATCGAATGCAGGGCTTCACATACTCTAGGTGCATGTTTACCACTGAGCTACATTCCCAGTCCCTTTTTCATTTTTTGAGATAGGGTCTTGCTCAGTTGCCCAGGCTGGGTTCAAACTTGTGATTCTTTGCCTCAACCCCGAGAAGCTGAGACCCCAGCTATGCAGCACCAGGGCCAGCTCTCTTGTCCAGTCTTGTTGGTGCTCAACAATGTGACCGTGCATTTCACAGATGACATAAAAAAGGCCCAGAGAAGTGAATATTTGCTTAGGGTCACACAGCTGATAAAGGAAGAGCCAGGACACAGCCCTAAGTTTCCAGAAACTAAAATGTGTATTCTTTTCTTTTGAGCATATGGTTCTGTTTTGGGGGGTTGTTTTTTCCTTGTGTACTGGGGATTGAACTCCGCCCCCAGGCCCCCGGCTTTTTTTATTTTGAGACAGGGTCTTTCTAGTTTGCTGGGGCTGGGGTTACTCAGCATTCTCTTGCCTCAGGCACCCAGGGTGGGGATTACAGGTAAGTGCCCACCACATCTGGCTAAAATGTATATTCTTTTGATGACATAAATCATACTTTTGCAAAAAATTTGTTTACCCTACTTCTAAAGCACATAACTCAGTGGGCAAGTCCAATGGTTCTGGAGGCAGACTGTGTAGATTTGATTTGGCTCTGGCTTACCAGGAAATTAATTAATCTTTTTGTCTCAGTTTCCTTATCTCGAAAGTGAGGATAATAACAGCATCCACCTTCTGGGGTCGAAGCTGGGAGCAATACTTAACTGATATACGATTATAGGCACTGTGCACACAGTGACATATGGTATGTGACCTGTGACAGTAGCACCAAACTCACCTGACCTGATTCACCCTCTAGAGTGGCCAGGGAGAGATTGTTTCTCTCATTCCATAGTCAAGGACACTAATGCTGTCATAGCAGACACCTGACTTATTGCACATAGCAATGAAGTCTGAGATTAAACCCATTTCATCTGCTTTAAGGGCACAGTTGTCCCATCCTAGCACCCAGAATCTCTCCTGCCTCCTGAGGGTTCTACCCAGCCCTACCTGTCGCCAGTTGGAGGCCTCTGGGGTGTAGAACTCAAGAGCCAGCAGCCCTGCCCGAACCATGTTGAGCCAGTTCACATAGATCACGTCTTCCGCATCAGCCCCTTCGAAGCCAAAGATCCTGGGGGAGGAAGGGGCAGGCAGCAGGGATGATGAGGGCTCTGCCCTCCTGGGTGACACCCTCCCTCACCCCTCATGCCTGCTGCTCCTACTCCAGCACTTGGGGGTTGAGGCAGAGGTAGAGGCCCACACTCTCGGCCCGGCACTCTTCGTAGCTTGAGGCAATGGTGCTGAACTTGCTGTCCCACGTCTCCCCACTCCGGTACCAGCTCTGAATCTGGTAGGTGAAACCAAGGAATCAGGCCCCACTCTGCCCACCCTCTCGACACCTAGGCCCCACAGAAGCTGTCCCCACCTGCTCTCCAGTCTCTGGGTTGATCACTGTTTCCGGGTCGAAGTTGAACACTCCTTTCTCATCCTGCAGAAAAAGGGTCATCATGAACATGGGGCCAATGAAGGAGAAGAGCCCTGAGCCCCAGAGCCCTAGGTCAAGGAGTGGCTTAGAAAGGCAAATGTGGAACATGGAGTGGATGGCAGAAACAGCAGGCCCACTGCCACGCTGTTACCTACAATCCTGAGGCCTGGTGTACTGGCTGCCTCCTCAGAGCCTTGGGGATACAGGTGCCCATCCCTGCCCCTAGATCCTGACTTCCAGGAGTGGAGGCATTAGCCACTCTCCCTGCAGCAGAGGGGGAAACAAAGGGCTAGACAGGACCTTGGGAAGTTGTGTGAAGACCCAGACCTGGGATCTCCAGATCCTGACCACAGATGCTCCAATGGGAGCACCAAGGAGCCCAGGTACTTCTCCCTACACGTCCTGGCCCTCTCCCAAGCTGCTGCAGGAGGCCCCAGCACCATCCCCACCATCCTGTCCCAGGCCAAGTATCTTTCAGGAATTGTCTGTTTTATCTTCACTTTGTCCACTTAAGTCTCCCAAAGAAGGCTCTATTGTTACCCAGTTCATAGATGGGGAAACTGAGCTTGGCAACAGCCCCAAACTGGAATTGGGGCACATAACCTCTGTGTACAGTCTCTTTCTTTTTTTGAGGGGGGGGTACCGGGAATCGAACTCAGGACCTTGAGCTTGCCAGGCAGGTGCTTGTGCCACTGAGCTATATCCCCGGCCCTGTGTACAGTCTCTTAACATTCACACTGACTTGCTGAGAGCCCACTCTACGCCAGGGCATCCTATCCACCTTCATTTCTATTCTTCCCAACAGCCCATATGGTGGGGTTGGAAACCCTGTTGCGCAGATGGACCGACACAGACTTGGTGACAGGAGCCCACTTGTCTGACGCCACAACGTGGATAAAGCCCGGACAGGACCCCATCAGCTGCTCTCCACGTGCTTCTGACTTCCCAGGCTCACTCTGCTCTGTTCTGCCCCTTCCAGGGAAGCTGCCCACCTACGGAGCAGGCCCGACCCAGAACCACACTGTCTCTCACAGCCCTGCCCAGCCCCTCATCATCTTATCTGTGTGGCTCCACGTTGGAGGCCCTGAAGCTTTCTCAGCCTGCTGGCAAGGCTGTCTGCTTGCCTTTCCCTTCTTTTCACGTGGCACTGGGCTGGCTCTGTGCTTCTCACCTGTGCAAAGAGCTTGCCGCTGCCATGGCCCAGTAGCTCATGGAGCCCCACCTGCACATCGAAGGAGGGCCCCTTCCAACGGGTATACAGGTCCTGCCGAGACAAGGGGAGAGCTGCTGTCAGCTGTCCTGCTGCAGCCACCCACCCCCAGTGGCCTCTGTGTCCCGAGGCTGAGTGCCAGTCATGGTATCCATGCCTGATGGACACATAGCCCAGGTCATTCTTGCAAGAACCTGGGAGGGAGGGATGGCCTCCACGTGTGACCAGTGAGAAAACAGAGGCCCATAGTGGCACATGGTCACACAGCCAGGAAGTGACCAAGCCAGGACTGAAGCTATGTTCTGTTTTTGTCACAGATCTCGGCTGTCAGCCTTCCTAGATCCAATGAGGCCAGCTGGGTGTGGTGGCACACACCTGCAATCTTAGCACTTGGGAGGCTGAGGCAGGAAGACCACTGCGGGTTCGAGGCTAGCCTGGGCTATAAACTGAGTTCAAGACCAGCCTGAACTATACAGTGAGACCCTGCTCAAAAAGACAGAAAAAAAAAACAAAACGCCCCACTGAGGCCAGACCCTTGGCTGCCAATGCCCACCTTGTCTTCCTCCTCCAAGAATGTCAGCTTCTCCCGCTGTGTGGCATAGGCAACTGCTAGCACATTCCCCAGTGACACATTCTTAAAGCCTTCTGTCTGCCTCAGGTCATCATCTGGAAGAGAAAGCAGGAGGGGACCAGAGAGAAAGGCAAAGGTCAAAGGTCACAGACAGCAGGAGGAGCAGGCTAGGAGGGCGAGTGGAGCTGGGCAGTCAACCACCAGC